ACAGATGCTGTCGTTCAGGGCCTGAGCACTGCCCTGTAGCTTTTCTGCACTTTTCTTCCACTTCCAGAACCCCTCCATTTCCAGCTTGTTGGTGATCAATTAAAGATAGGAATCTCATGGACTTTTTAGCCAATGCTTACTTCAAACCGTGATCTCCAGCCTCCTGAGTAGCTAATATAATAGGTGTGAGGCACCACCCACCTTATCTGGGTTAGGATTACTGAATTTATTTTTTTACACTTCCTTGGTGTAAGCATCTGCCTATCCTCTGCACAATTCTGCTCATGCTCAAGTGCAACACAACCAGTATGTACAGTTTTTGTGAAAGTCAGCTCTCAGGAGTCCCCACCCCTCCCTTGTGCAAGTCCCTAGAGAGGAGAGTTGCAGGGAACTCAGCGTCTGTAGCTGGGCTGCCATGCAGGCCCCTCCTACTCTCCGTGGCTCACAGTCACCACACCACGGCTGAAATCACAAGACAAAGTGCAGCTTCAGCTTCTTTCTGAGGGAACAGCCCAGTGTGGTCCAATGCCCAGGATATAATTCTTTTAAATCCTACCTAGCACTGGGTGGCTGGAGCTGTGTGCCCAGAGGAGTCCAGGGGCAGCGAGGCCGCCATGGAGCTGCTGACGGGAAGCACCGTGGCCGTGGCCGTGACCATCTTCCTGCTCCTGGTGGACCTGATGCACCGGTGCCAGCGCTGGGCTGCTCGCTACCCACCGGGCCCTGTGCCTCTGCCAGGGCTGGGCAACCTGCTGCAGATGGATTTCCAGAACCTGCCATACTGCTTCTACAAGGTGAGGAGCTGGAAGTGGGCTGCAGATGGTGGGGATGCACAGGAACGGGTGGTGTGGTGAAGCCATAGGCTGGACGAGACTCTGCGTGGCACAAGTAGAGTGGGACCCCAGGGCCCCTACAATTCAGGTGACGAGGGGCCAGGCCACTGAGCAGTGTTTCAGTTGGACATCAGGTGGAGAGAGGCACAGAGACCACTTCTGTCTGCAGCTGCTGTGGGGTCTTGGGTCTCATGCTCCCCTCCGTGCATCTGTCTCTTCCTTGTACAGTGGGATGCTGTGGGGTCCGGGGACAGTCTTGGGAATCTGTCTGGTGGTAGCTCCACAATCACATCTACATTGATGCTTCTGCCCCAGCCCAGCAGCAAGACACCAGATCATAGGCTGGGGAATATAGCATATTGGTAGAGTGCCTGCCTGACACACAGAAGGCCCTGGATTTGCTCCAGCACAGCAAAACTGAGAAAGAAGGAAGTGAGGAAATGAGACTGGAGGGAGAAAAGAGAAGACTCCAGATTGGAACTGTGCCATGATGAACCTGGGTCAGTGTCTGTGCCTTGAGCATGGGTCCTGTAGTCTGGCAGCGCCCTCCACTGATCGGGACCCTAATCCTTTGCCCACTGCTATGGTACTGCTTGAGAGATGTGTTTCCTAGCAAGCACAAGGCCTGGGTTCAATTATTACTGGCACAAAAGGAAGAAGAAAAACAACCAACTGATACCTCTTATAACATGTATGAACCACTCTTCAGAGTGCTAGCCTTGAGCTCATGAGCTGAGGGACAGCGCCCAGGTCCAGAGTTCAAGCCCACAACAACAACAACAAAAAGACGTCTATGTTGCACTTTTGTGTTATGTTAAATTCATGAGGCAGCAGCTAGCATGGTCATTGCTAGCAGTGAGGCAGAGGAGGGAAGAAGAGCTGTTGTCTGAGGGTCCAAGCAGCAGTGTTCCCACATCTGCACTGGGCGGTGGTGATGGAGACACATTGTGAATGCACATGAGAACTCTGGATTTTACACTTAAAGATGAGTAGATGGGCTGGGTGCTAGTAGCTCACGCCTATAATTCTAGCTGTTCAAGAGACTGAGATCTGAGAATCTTAATTTGAAATCAGCCCAGGCAGGAAAGTGCATGAAATTTACACAATTATCCACCAAAAAAGCCAGAATTGGAGCTGTGGCTTAAGTGGGAGAGCACTATCCTTGAGCAAAAAGCTCAGGGACAGCACCCAGGCCGTGATCTCAGCACCTATGACCAGAGGGGCAAAAAATGGGGAGATGGGGAGGGTATCCCTGGGGGATAATTCCTTGCTGACCCCCGTGCTGTCTGCTTGGGCTTACAGATGTAATGTTTAAGCTCTAGCACCAGAACAAAAGAGGAGGAAAGATGGTAAATGTTGGAAACCTCATCCCCGCCCCCCCACACACACACTGTTCTCAAACAATGGTAGGCAATGTTTGGACCGGACTCTGCAGCAGAGCTGCCTTAGCTTAGGGAATCAGGCCTAATTTCAGAACATATGTCTTGTCTCCTGAGGGGCCATTGAGTGGCCTACCACAAAACCTGGCAGCATTGTGGCATCCTTCTTGATAAGAATGTCTCTGGCCGGGCGCTGGTGGCTCACGCCTGTAATCCTAGCTACTCAGGAGGCTGAGATCTGAGGATCTCGGTTCAAAGCCAGCCCGGGCAGGAGAGACCGTGAGACTCCTATCTCCAATAAACCACCAGAAAACTGGAAGTGGCGCTGTAGCTCAAGTGGTAGAGCGCTGGCCTTGAGCTGAAGAGCTGAGGGACAGCACCCAGGCCCAGAGTTCAAGCCCCACAACCGCCAAAAAAAAAAAAAAAGAATGTCTCTGTACCTGGGACTGGGACTGCAGTTGAAAGTTCATGCCAGCACTGGGTAGACCCTGTCACTCAGCCTCCAGAAGGGAGGGACACATAGAGACTGATTGAGCCTCCCTAATAAACAGCAGCTCCACCTTGTGGAGGGAAGCCTGTAGTGAGCATCTTCCTGTCCTTCCCTCTGCATCCTCATGACATTGACTAGGGTGTCATGGGAGAGAAAGGGCAGTTAAGCAGCAGAACTCGGCCTTACACTCTTGCTCAGCTGTTTGTTTGTTTGTTTTACTCACAAATAGTACTCTATAAGATGATCCTTAGGACCACAGAGGCTTTTTGCTGTCTCTCATCTGCTTCTGCTTGGTCTGAACCTCAGTTCCCAGATCTCAGCCTCCAGAGTAGCCAAATTATGTGTGAGGATTGGCACTTGACTCCAACCCCTTTATGAGAGTTCTAGAACCACTTATGAAGCACAGGGCCAGAAGGATCAAGAATGTTCTAGCATCTTTTGGGCCTCTGTCTACTTGCCTGACACAGCTGTTATTATTGGGAGGAAACACCCAATTCCCAGCTCCTCCCTAAGAACAGAAAGGAGGGTGAGATCTGTGTGCCCATGTACTGGCTTGTCTGGATGCTAGGCCTGGGCCTTTGGAGCTGCAATCCCACAGGATGACACCAGGGGGCACAAGAGATTACAGGCTGTAGAATACTCTAGACATAGACCAGAAAGACCCCAGGGGAGCAAGACCAGCCTGCTGGTGAGTCAGTTTTCTGGGAGGTTGTAGGCATGAGTGGAGACCTCAGAGCATCCTCCTCGGCCAGGGGCGGGGGAGGCGATCTCCCTTGTTTTGTCCTGGACACCTCTTGTTGTCTCCTCATTCCAGTTACTGCAACAGTGTCCCTGTGACTTGGGGACACCATCTTCTCCTTAAGATCATCCTTACAATTCTTTTTTTATTACCATATTTTTATTTTTATTTGAGAAACCCTAAACAGGGGTTTCAGTTACATAAGTCATATAAAGAGTCCATTTCTGGGGCTGGGAAGGTGTAGCTCAGCGGTAGAGTGCATGCCTTGCAAGCATGAGTCCCTGGGTTCGATTCCTCAGCACCACATAAACAGAAAAAGCCAGAAGTGGCTCTGTGGCTCTAGTGGTAGAGCTCTAGCCTTGAGCTGAAGAGCTGAGGGACAGCGCCCAGGCCCAGAGTTCAGGCCCCATGACCGGCAAAAAAAAAAAAAAGTCCATTTCTTTCCTGAGCCTCTGTGCTCAAGGCAAGTGCTCTTCCACTTGAGCCACAGCCCCACTTCTAGCTTTTTCTGTTTATGTGGTGCTGAGGAATCAAACCCAGGGCTTCTTGCATGCCAGGCAAGCACTCTACCACTAAGCCACATTCCCAGCCCCAAGAGTACCTTTCTTTTTGGATAATGGTACCCTTCCCTCACTTTCTCCCAGTTTTTCCCTCCCTGTCCCCACCCACAGTTGTGCAGTTCATTTTCCACATTGTACCTAGTGAATACTGTGGCTGCCTGGGCCTCTCTGCTTTCGTAAGGAGCTTTATCCTCTTCCTTTGTGCTTCCTCCATCTGACAAACTGGATTTGCCCCACCTCTGCCATGCTGATGGGTATAAGGTGGCTGTGATTTCTGTGCCCTGGTGGTGCAGTGTGGACCACTCTCAGTCAAGTGTTGCTCGCTAGGTATGATTTGCTGGAATAATCGATCTCCGGAGCTTTTGCTAGACTGTCTCTTGCAGAGCTCTGCACTTGTTTCATGCATGAACCCGGATGCTGTGCGGTGACTTTGATCTCACCAATGTGCTTTCTTGTATGTCCTGGAGATGCAGGGCCACCTGTCTGATGGCTGTGGGAATGGTTTACCAGGTGCCACAAGCAGCGTGACAGACACTGCCTGATTCATGAGTGTTGGTCATTGTTAAGCACAGTCTGGCTATTTCAGATGATTTTCCTCATGGCCACCACATCCTGAGCACAGATCCCTGACTCGAGGAGGCTACTCCCTGTGTTCTTATCCCCTTCCCTTAAAAGCAGAGTTGTCAGCTGCCTACCAATTCCAGACCTGCACAGGGTCCTGCTTCTTAGAGCAGGGATCCACCTGTCTCTGCGCCCATTCTCCCAGTACCCGGCGCAGCAGAACCTGCCAGTATGTCCAGCTTATGTGCTCCTCAGCTCTCCAGTCTTGTGCCTTCCCCAGTGTAACAGGAAGGATAGGACCTTTGGGCCAGCCCCCAGGACTAGGCCCTGACCTGGCTGGCCCTCCTACCCTGCTGCTTACACAATGAGCACAAACACTTATCTGAAGGGACAAAGGGCAGCCTCTGCTCATTAGCTCATTATAAGGGTAAAGCAAACAAGGTGTGGTGGCAGTGTCCTGCTCAGCCCTGGTGGCTGGGTTGGTGTGTCCAGAGGAGTGCAGTGGGCAGTGAGGCCGCCATGGAGTTTCTGACGGGGTCCGTGGCCGTGGCCGTGGCCATCTTCCTGCTCCTGGTGGACCTGATGCACCGGCGCCAGCGCTGGGCTGCTCGCTACCCGCCGGGCCCTGTGCCTCTGCCAGGGCTGGGCAACCTGCTGCAGATGGATTTCCAGAACCTGCCATACTGCTTTTACAAGGTGAGGAGCAGGTGGTGGGCAGCAGAGGGCATGCGGAGCCCACAGAGACAGTGCTGGGAAGCCACAGGCCGCGCAGGGAGCTGAGCCCCAGAGGCTGAGAGGCTCCCTGGGGAGGGCACTGCAGGGCCTGAGGACAGTCTGGGCTTTCCAAGACCAACATGTCGCGGGGCAAAGGCTGGGTTGACACATGGCAGGGGCCTTGAGTGCAGTTGCACAGAGCAGAAGTTGTGTACTCCCCAGAATCTTCCAGACTGGGAGGGGCTGGGACCCTGGGTGGCATTTCAGTTGGACGCATTTCAGATGAGAGAAGCACAGCGACCCCTTGAACCGCTTGCTCCCCTGGCTGAGGTCAGGAGACACTGAGGGTCCTGTGACGATTTGGTGAATCTGGCCTCTTAGACCTGAGAAGTCACTGTTGAAGTGATTCTACCACTCTAACCCTGGCATGGGACAGCAGGATTCAGGCTGGAGACGGAGCTTAGAGGCAGAGCACTAGCCTGGCATAGTGAAAGCTCTGGGTATAGAGAACAACAAACATAGACCACATCTTCGTGCTTGCCCTGCTCAATCTGGGTCCTTAAGCTTGTGTACCAAGTCTGGGTCCTGGCCCTCCATCGACCAACGCCCTGATCCTCTGCTTGCAGCTCCGGCATCAATTCGGGGACGTGTTCAGCCTGCAACTGGCCTGGAAGCCTGTGGTTGTGATAAATGGGCTGGAGGCCGTGCGTGAGGCACTGGTGATCCATCGCGACAACACCGCAGACCGCCCACCGATGCCTATCTATGAACATCTGGGCTTTGGACCAAGAGCCAGAGGTAAAGAGCAGCAGGGCAGAGTTGGGCCTATTAGCTGTGCAAATGGACAGTGACAAAGGAAGGACAGGGTCTGGTGGGAGAGGGGCAGGGATGAGAAGGATTGTTCAATGATAGGAGGAAATACAGCAAAAGTAGATCATGCAAGGTGCAGGAGTGTTTGGACAGAGGAAAGTCCTGCCTCAAGCGTGTAGGTCAGCATTCTGCCATATATCCAAGTGCACCTATCCACTCTTCTGCAGGGGTGATCCTGGCACCCTATGAGCAGGCCTGGCGTGAACAGCGACGCTTTGCCCTGTCCACCCTGCGCAACTTTGGCCTGGGCAAGAAGTCACTGGAGCAGTGGGTGACAGAGGAGGCCGGCTGCCTGTGTGCGGCCTTCGCTGACCAAGGTGATCAGGGTACAGAGGAAGCAAGGGTCAGGGGGGATGTGGAGAGAGGACTGCCTCATTTTTACCTCTGCTCTTCCAGGAGGCCCCTTCAGCCCCATGGCCCTCCTGAACAAAGCCGTGTGCAACGTGATCGCCTCCCTCATCTATGCCCGCCGCTTCGAGTATGACGATGCCTCCCTGGACAGAATGTTGGAGGTGGTCCGCAGGTCTGCAAATGAGGACTCTGGCTTCCTCCCTGAGGTATGGGTAGAGGGACTCAGGAGACACTGCAGGGCCAGCGCCATGCAGCTCCCAGGCGAGAGGGCCTGGAGCTGTACAAACTCTAACAATAGGAACAGTATAGAGTCCTAGGAGCTAGATGTCAGTGGCTCATGCCTGTAATTTTAGCTACTCAGGAGGCTGAGATCTGAGGATCAGGATCGCAGTTTACAGCTAGCCCCAAAGCCAGCCCTAGCAGGAAATTCTATTAGACTCTTGTTTTTTTTTTTGGGTCCGGTCGTGGGGCCTGAACTCTGGGCCTGGGCACTGTCCCTCAGCTCTTCAGCTCAAGGCTAGCACGCTACCACTTGAACCACAGCGCCACTTCCGGCTTTTTTTTTCTTTTTGCTTATGTGGTGCTGAGGAATTGAACCCAGGGCCTTGAGCATGCAAGGCAAGCGCTCTACCACTGAGCCACCTTCCCAGCCCTCTATGAGACTCTTATCTCCAATTAATCACCAGAAAACCGGAAGTGTCGCTGTGGCTCAAGTGCTAGAGTACCAGCATGAGCTGAAGAGCAGGAGAACAGTGTCCAGGCCCAGAGGGCAAGCCCCACGACCAAACCAATAATAATAATAAAGAGTTGTAGGGTGAGGGGGTTCTGAAGAAGGACAGTCTACACCCCTGCCCCCCATGGAGATATTCCTCTGGCAGCTAGAACCTCAAGAGAGCAAGGAGGCTGGCACTGGAGAAGCAATGGGTGACCAGAGGGGCCAGGCAAGGCCTGTGTCTGACCTGGAGGACCAAGGGTGGAGATTGATCCTGGTGTACAGTGAACACAGAAGGACTCTTCCCATCTGTGCTCTCACAGTTGCTGAACGCAGTCCCCGTGCTCCTGCGCATCCCCGGGCTGCCTGGGAAGGTCTTCCCTGCACAGAAAGCCTTCATGGACCTGCTGGATGAGCTGCTGGCAGAGCACAAGATGACCCGAGACCCTGCTGAGCCACTACGAGACCTGACCGACGCCTTCCTGGCTGAGGTGGAGAAGGTGCGCTGTGACCACCCTGCCCCACAGACTGGTCCAGAGCCAAGGCCTGAGGGTGCTGTGGAAGGGAGGCCGGGCTCCAGGCTGGAGGGGACAGTGGAGGCTGTCTGGAGCCTTGTCCTCTGCTGCCTGAGCCCAGAACCCCTTTGTCTTTGCATAGGCCAAGGGGAACCCCAACAGCAGCTTCAATGAGGACAATCTGCGCATGGTGGTGGTTGACCTGTTCACCGCAGGGATGGTGACCACCTCCACCACGCTGTCGTGGGCCCTGCTGCTCATGATCCTGCACCCGGATGTGCAGCGTGAGCCCAGCTGGGACCGGAGGGAAGGGGGAGGGAGGAAAAGTGGAGTCAGGGTGTAGGCTTCACTTCAGCGGGAGTCATGGTGACCTCACCGGGTCTCGGCTCTTCACACAGAGGCCGGGGCAGGTGGACACTGGCCCTAGTGACTGCCTGTGGTGTCTCTGCTTGTCCACGCAGGCCGCGTGCAGCAGGAGATCGATGAGGTGATCGGGCAGGCGCGGCGGCCAGAGATGGGGGACCAGGCCCGCATGCCCTTCACCTGCGCAGTGATCCATGAGGTGCAACGCTTTGCCGACATTATCCCAGTGAATTTGCCCCACATGACGTCCCGGGACGTGGAAGTGCAGGGCTTCCTCATCCCTAAGGTAGGCCCATTGTCCCATCCCATCACAGACGTTGTGGCACAAGGACAAGAAAGACACAGATCACCTCATCCCAGCCCGCCCAGGGGCTGACCAGACCGTCCGGCCATGCAGATCTCACAACCTGCCCACAGAGCCTGGGTAGATGGACAACATACAGTCAGCCACAGTGGTAGAAGAACCACTGCATGCAGTGACTGGTGGCAATGGGACTTCCATGGGAAGCTTGTCACTTGGCCCTGTCACAGCATCAGGTGGTTCTGAAAAGCATTTGGGGTTGAAGGTCAGGTGGAAGGACACACGCAGGCCAGGGCAGTGTCTGTGTGTGTGGTGTGCAGTCTCAGTGTCCCCAGCTCCCCTCACCATGCACTTCCCACCAGGGCACCACGCTCCTCACCAACCTGTCGTCGGTGCTGAAGGACGAGCACATCTGGGAGCAGCCCTTCCGCTTCCACCCTGCACACTTCCTGGATGCCCAGGGCCGCTTTGTGAAGCCTGAGGCCTTCATGCCCTTCTCAGCAGGTGCGTGGGGGCCTGGCTCCCTGTCCCCTCGCTGGGGTGACAGGCTGGCTGGAAGGTGGCCCCCTAGCCCCAGCTGACATTGTTTCCACTCCTTATCCCTCATAGGCCCCCGCACGTGTCTGGGGGAGCCCCTGGCGCGCATGGAGCTCTTCCTCTTCTTCACCTGCCTCCTGCAGCGCTTCAGCTTCTCGGTGCCCACAGGCCAGCCCCGGCCCAGTGACTTCAGGGCCTTTACCTTCCCTGTTACCCCTCGCCCCTACCAGCTCTGTGTTGGGCCACGCTAGGAGGAACACCAGGCCCTCAATCTGCCCCCAGGAGGTGTCACAATGCACAATAAACCTGTCTTTTGCTGCCATTTGGATCCCTGGTCCAGCCCCCTGACTAGCCTCTTTCTGTGGTAGGTGCTGAGCTCCCTCACCCTGCCAGGTCCACTCTGCATGAGCACTTGAGTCTGATGCAGACAGGGTGCTCTGTTGCTCATTTACCCTGTCTTTCCCATGAAATTTCCCTTCACGTGGCCTTGGTCACGTGTGTTGCTAAAGTTTGATTCCTAGGAAGTTTACATACACTAATACATTTAATATACAAAAGAGCTAGCAATAGTTAGCCTCTCAGCCACACATATCATCTATACATATTAATGTATCACATGTACATGTTCCTTTAGCTTTCACCTTTTGGAGTAAAAATTGGACTTTTTAATTAGGTTCCATAGTAGCTATAGCACAGGCAAAAAAGTACAACTTTCTCTCAAAGGTTAAAGGAGAGCTGGGAATGTGGCTTAGTGGTAGAGTCCTTGCCTAGCATGCATGAAGCTCTGGGTTCGATTCCTCAGTACCACATACACAGAAAAAGTAAGAAAAAGTAAGAAGGGGTGCTGTGGCTCAAGTGGTAAAGCACTAGCCTTGAAAAGAAGCTCAGGGACAGTGCTCAGGTCCTGAGGTCAATCAAGCCCCAGGACTGGCAAAATAAAAAATAAAAAAAGGTTACAGGGGTGAGTAACACTAAATCACCCTATTTCCTGATAATCAAGTGATAGATACAGTGCACATATATGCAGTAATACGTGTTTAGGCTGGTTGCTGGTTACTCACAGCTGTAATTCTAGCTACTTAGGAGGCTGAGAACTGAGAATCACCATTCAAAGCCAGCTCCAGCAGAAAATTCCATGAGACTCTTATGTCTAATTAACCACCTGAAAAGCAGAAGTGGAGCTGTGACTCAAAGTGGTAGAGTGCTCACCTTGAGTGAAAAAGCTCAGGGACAGTGCTCAGGCCCTCAGTTCAATCTCATAACCAACCAAAAAAAAAAAAAAAGACTCAGTTTCCTAAGTAGTTTCAAGCCTGATAAAATTGTTAGAAAGCACAAATTGTCCTGATAAAACACAAAATCTGTTCTTTTCAGTCATTTTCTTGCCAGTTTTACCAAGAGCAGAACAGTATTCTTAAAACTCAGAGAATTAGGTTCTAGTTCTATAAAGGACATGATATTTTGACTTTAGAAAATTCTTAAGGTAATGTTTAAATTTTTTTTTGGGGGGGGGGGGGCGTCCAGTCGTGGGGCCTGAACGCTGGGCCTGTGCGCTGTCCCTCAGCTCTTCAGCTCAAGGCTAGCGCTCTACCACTTGAGCCACAGCACCACTTCCGGCTTTTTTCTTTCTGCTTATGTGGTGCTGAGGAATCGAACCCAGGGCCTCATGCATGCAAGGCAAGTACTCTACTGCTGAGCTACCTTCCCAGCCCCTGCTTAAATTTTTAACCATCTTAATCATACATACGAACTTCTCGTCAACTTCTTTTATATACTTCCTAAGTCTCCCGCAGACTTTTTCTGCACTTTCTGGAGCTTTATCTCCCCTTTTTTGTCCATATTGGAACAGTTCTTTAGGGCAAGCTTAACAAAACCTTTTTCTCAAGCCAAAGGATTTGCTTTTCCCTTTAACTTTCTTTTCCTAAAATGTATTCCATGGCTTACTTACATCCTTCTTACTTACTGATTCTTTTGTTTTATTTTTGTTGGTTGTAGGGCTTGAACTCTGGGCCTAGGCTCTGTGCCTGAGCTCTTCAGCTCAAGGCAAGCACTCTACCACTTGAGCCACAGCTCCGCTTCCAGTTTTCTGGTGGGTAATTGGAGATAAGAGTCTCAAGGACTTTCCTGCCTGGGTTGGCATTAAACTGGGGTCCTCAGATCTTAGCCTGCTGAATAGCTAGGATTGCAGGCATGAGCTACCGGTGCCCGCTGTCTGGTTTGTAGAAACAGCAGCAGAAGAGAAACTAGGGGCTGGGAAGGTGCTCAGTGGTAGAGTGCTTGCCTTGCACACCTGAGGCCCTGTGTTCAATTCCTCAGCACCAAATAAGCCAAAAAGAAAAAACCCGGAAGTGGCACTGTGGCTCAAGTGGTAGAACGCTAGCCTTGAGCTGAAGAGCTGAGGGACAGCACCTAGGCCCAGAGTTCAGGCCCCACGACTGGACCAAAAAAAAACAGAAAACTGAAGCCACAGCTCCTCTAAACACATTCATATATGCACACATAAACAAGAAAATGGTTTTTGGTGCCAGTTTCTGTGGCTTAAACTCAGGGTCTCTTACTCTCACTTTTTTTTTTTTTACTCAGGTTTAGTACTCTACCACTTTGCCATACTCCTCTTCCATCTTTTTGTTAGTTAATTGGAGGGAAGAGTCTCACAGACTTTTCTACCTGGGCTGGGTTTAAACCTCGATCCTCAAAGCTTAGCCTCTGAGTAGGTAGGATTACAGGTATGTACTACCAATTCCCAGCTCAAAAAAAATTTTTTTTAAGTTAAGCATGCTAAAACATGTCAAGTTTAATGTGCAGAAGAAAAATACAGGAGTTAGATTTAGTGGTCAGCAGTACACTGGTCATTTATTTCCAGGAGTAGATCTAATTGTACCCAGGGTAGCACCTTGTAGGTCTCATTGGTGGCTAAGCAAGAGTCAGTGCTGGGAAAGTGGGGGATCGAGTCAGTCTTCAATAGGAATGCTGCCACAGCCATCAGATAATTTGGTTTCCACCAAGTCAGCCACCACAGAGATTAATTGCCACACTGAAGATGACACACCCAACTACATTGATTCAGCACAAGTCCTTAGACAAACCATTCTTCTGTCCCTTCTTATCTAAGTAAACTACTCAGCCACAATTCTATGATAGACAAGGCATTTCATTCTTATGCAAATTACAGCAGAGATCTCTCTTAAACTTCACCAAAAACAGAAGCCTGAATGAGTTCAAATGGATCCAAATGCTAGGACAAAGGAGTCCAAATTTGCCCGTCAGACCAACAGGAAAAGTCTAGATTAGTTTGGGTAAAGCACCAATGCTTCAGAAGAGCCTCCAGGAAGCCCAAGGTTCACCAATGAGGAAGAACTTAGAAAAGGTCAGACTCTGAGGCCTGTAGAGTCTAAATACTTATTTCTCTCCCTCACCAAATGACGGCAAGAAGCAGGTAAAAACAGCCAGAGTGGAAAGATTAAGGTCCCTGCCATGAAAGTAACTCCATCAGCTCCTGGAACCAGTTCCATTTTTCTTCTGTGAGTGGAGCAGGCAGCTGTGAGTAGTGAATGCCCAGTGGGCATATTTTCTCCTGCATGGTTTGCCAAATCTGAAACCCAACTTTTAGACCTCAGATCCAAACTCGGTGGAGGGGGGCGTGCCATAGGTCAGGTCCAGCCACTTTCCCCAATACCTCAAATAGACAAGTAAAGCTGAAGGGACAAGAAAGAAATGTTTTACATGCCACAGGCACCTGTGTCATGGGGAAAGTAATGGTCACTTCTTTGGTGTCAGGAGAAGCTCTGTTCTCTTCCTCAATGTCGCCACCTGACGTTCCCATCAAGTGCAAAAGCTCCTGCAACCTGCACCTCCGTTGTTGCAGTGGGTGTGGGTTGAAGCTCATCGTGGCTGTGAATTCCGTGCCCTGTGGAACAGCTTACCAGGTGTTTGTTAACCAGTTGGGTGTTTTTCCTTGGAGAGATAGCTGTTCAGGACCTTTGCTCACTTGGATTTGAGGTGCCAGCATTGCTTTATTCATTCAGATGAGGAGGTCTTGCTAAGCATTTGCCTGGCCTGGTCTTGAACTGCAGTCCTCTTACCCTGTGTCTCCTGAGTCACTGGGGTTACAGGCACGAGCTACCTTTTTTAGATCTATTTTTGTTTTTGAGAGAAGAGCTCAAAACTTAGCCTAAGCTGGCCTCAAACTCAAGATCCTCCTGCCTATGCCTCCTGAGTAGCTGGAGTTACAGGTGATTCCTAACATGCCTAGTACATTTGTTATTGTTCTGGGGACAAGTAATGACTATTTAGACCAGATTGGCCTCAAACTTACTTTGTAGCCCAGGCTGGCCTCAAACTCATGATCCTACTACTTCTACCTCCTGAGTAGCTGGGTTTACATGTGTGTACCATCAAGCCCAGTCTCCTCCTCCTCTACCTCCTCCTCCTCCTCCTCCTCTTCCCCTTTCTCTTCCTCTTCCTCCTCCTTCTGTTCCCTCTGAAAAAGACATTTCCACTTGCTATCAAAAAAAAGAAGACCCAATGCCACCTACCAAGCTAAAGAAACCTCACAGCAACTTTTATGGGAGCTAGGTATCTCCAGAAAGCGGCTGCTGTGTCTGAAACCCGCATGGCCTCTTGGGCTTGTCCCCTGGTGAGCCGTGGGTCCTGTGCCTCACACACACACTTCTCTCTCCCACACTCAGCACTAAGGTTGCTGCCCTTCCTCTGGTCTTTCTCAAGTCCCTCAGGAGCTGACCTCAGTCCATCCTTCAGGATTGATCTCAATGGCCAGCTTGATTGGACTGAGAAGCTTCCAGAAGACAAGCAAGGTACCTCTCCATCTCTGGGTGGGTGTTTCTCAAAAAGGAGTACCTAACGTGGGAAGACCTGCCCCAAACATGGCCCCCATCAGCAGGGACCCTGCACAGAAGACGAGGACAGGGAGACGCCTGGCTGTGTCTCTCTGCTTCCCCACGATATGACTCAGGCCATCATGCTCTGCCTCGCAGACCCACAAACATGGAGTCCACTGATTAAGGCCAGACCCTCTGAAAATGTGAGCCAGCCCTCCTCCCTTGGGTCTCTCTGGGACTTTGTCACAGCAGTGAAAACTTTGACAGGCTCCCTGTTTCCCCTTGGATCCCATTGTTGGTGAGCAGCACTCAGGGCAGTATTTCTGGGGCAGTGATCCACCCATGGTTCCATGCCATGCTCTAGCTCCACTGGTTGTTCTTTTCATTTTGGTCAATTGCAACCAACCAGAGTCTAGGAATTGTCTATTTGGCTTGTTCCTTGCTGCTTTCCATTTCCTTGTGTGCCCAGTGTGTCAGTGCCTCAAGA